TATCTGATAGGGGGTTAATATTCCCAATAGGCAAAGAACTCATACAACTCATCATCAAAAAACAAATGTGTGTTGAGGTATGACAGAAAACAACAAAATTCTGTAAAGCAATTATTCTTCAATAAAAAATAAATAACAATTTTTAAATGTGTATAGGACCTGAAGAGACATTTTTCCAAAGAAGACATGGTCATCAGACACATGAAAAGATATTCAACATCATTAATCATCAGGAAAATGAAAATCAAAACCACAGTGAGGTGTCTCACACCTGTGAGAATGGTTATCATCAAAAAGACAGCAAATAACAAGTGTTGGCAAGGATGTGGAGAAAAGGGAACCTTCATGCACTATTCATGGGAATGTAAATTGGTGCAGCCACTATAGAAAACAGGATGGTTGTTTCCCAAAAAATTAAAAATAGAACTACCACATGATCCAGCAGTTCCATTCCTGGGTATTTAGCCAAAGGAAATAAACACCAATTTGAAAAGTTACATGCATTCCTATGTTCACTGCAATACTAATTACAATAGCCAAAATATAGGAACAACCTAAGAGTCCATCAATAGATTAATGAATAAAGAAGATATGGTATGTCTATGCAATGGAATACTACACCACCATAAGAAAAGAATGAAATTGTGCAATTTGTGGCAATATGGTTGGACCTCAAGGGTATTATGCTAGGCAAAATAAGTCAAACAGAGAATATAAAATCAAAATAAATGAACAAACATAACAAATAGAAACAGACTCAAGGATATAGAGAGCAAACAAGTGGCTGCCAAAGGGGAGGGCAGAGGAGGGATGAGTGAAATAGGTGAGGGAAATTAAAGAGGTACAAAGTTCACGTTATAAAAGAAATGAGCCACAGGAATGAAAAGTACAGCATGGGGAACATAGTAATATTGTAACAAATTTGTATGGTGACAGATGCCAACCAGACTTGCAGAGATCATGGTAATGCATGAAAATAATGAACCATTGTGTTGTATACCTGGAGCTGACAATGTAGGTCAGTTGTTGTTGTTGACAGTGTTGTAGGTCAATTATACTTAAATAAATAAATATTTTTTTAAATTACTGGGGAGAAATAAGCCAAAGTTTTATAATGTCTGTTCACAGATAAAGGCATTGTGATTGTTTTTTTCTTTATATTTTTATATATGCCTCATATTCTCTCTAAGAGAGAATTTAGAGAATTAAGAGAATTCTCTAAGAGAATCTGTATAGGATTTTAGTCTTAAATAAAAAACATTTTTAAAGGCTTCAAAAAAATAAGGGAGGACTGTGCCCATTTGTGGGCTCTGTGTTTTAAGAGAGGTGCTAACAACCTTGAGCTTATCTAGGCGAGACTCACTGGGATCTGAGGAGCCCTAAGGATCCAAGATGAAGGGACAAACATTCAGCAGAAAAAAATTCAGGGAGGACTTTTAGCTCCCTCCACTTAGTGGAATGCCTGGTGTGTAAAAGATGCTTCTTCTCTGAGGTCCCAAGACTAAGCCAGGAGCTAATGAACAGAAGTTGCAGGATAAAAGACTACAGCTCCATGTAAGGAAGGGCTCCCCAACCACTGGACACCAAGCATATATTGAACAAGCTACCTGATGTGGTAATAGGCTCCCTATCGCTAAAGGCAACCAACATGGACCAGATCAATGGTTATTTAGGATGTTGTAGTTTGTGTGCTATTGAATTCAGAAGCAACACAGTCATGGCTGAGAGGTAGCATAATGCAGGGTTTAAGAATGCAGGCTCTGGAGGCTATACCATGCTCACCCCCTGGAACCTGGCTAAGCCACAGAGAGGCTGTGCGTAAGTGTGTTGGCCACCATCCCAGGTGAGGCATCAGTTGCCTGCTAACATCAACCTCTAGGCATTTGACTAGGTGAGCCTTCAGACAATTCCAGTCCTTCAAGTTATGAATCATCACATTTGATACCAACTAGAGTAGATATAAGATGCTCTACCAAACTTTGCCCAAATGACAGATTCACAAGCAAAATAAACATTGCCATTTTAAACCACTAAATCTGGGAATAGTTGCATATCACTGAATAACTGGAACGCAATGTTTATGTGATGTTCTGAATTGCCATTGATCTTCAAGGCCACTTAACAGGTGCTGAGTCAAGTAAAAGGAGGTATTATTTTCAGAAAGGGAATTGGGTGCCTTGGGCTAATGAGAGCAGAGAAGGTTGGTGAAACAGTTGGGAGAATATGAAAGAGGATTTTGGGCAGCACAGTGAAGGCTAGATCCATGGATTTGTAATACCCTCCCTCCCCTACATGGTTTTGTGATTTTCTAAGTCTTCTGGAGAAAGTAGGTGCTGGATCCTGGCATGAAGGTGGAAGAGACACTGGAGGTCTGTGGATGGCAGGCACAGAAGGACTGGTGGTAGGCTTGGGAAACACACCACCCAAGGAAACAGAACAGAGTTGCATACTATCCCCTGTTGGTATACAAAAGAATCTTAGAGATTGTTTTCTAGATAAGGAAATCAGGATCAGGTACTTGGAAAACAACTAAGTACAAATTGTTCAGTAGGGACAGTACAAATGAATTACAGAGAGAAAAGATTAGGTTTAGTGAGAAGACTATGAAAGGGTGATGAATCCAAAAAAGATTTCTTGATAGCGAAGACCAGAAAAATTGAGACAGCATGGCTCTTTCTGTGTCTAAGAAGGGAAACAATAAGGCAGTTCTTAATGGTTAGAGCATGGAATCATGTTGGAAATTCTATCAGCAATACTATAAATGACAGTTCTCTCATTTTTTTAAAGCAGAAAATTACAGTGGGCACTCAGAAGAAGGAAACAAGGGTGAGTGACCAATTCCCTAGTGATCAGAGTATGATAATGTCAGGATAGCCAAGGTCTACTTCCCTGGTGCTGTGAATACAGCAGAGAGGAAGCAGACAAGAAAAGATACTAGCAGGCAATTATTTGTCTGCCTCATTACTTTTCAGGCTATAGTAAGAGTATTTAGAAATTAGGAAGAAATGCTGTCAACATGGGCTGAAATCGTCTGAACAGCAATCTCTGACTAGGCAAACTGCAGTGCTTACCTTGTTTATTTTTCCTCCTGCTCATTTCCTGACGTGCACAGCTTCAGTTCAGTTCTGTTCAGTTGCTCAGTAGTATCTGAGTCTTTGTGACCCCCATGAACTGCAGCACGCCAGGCTTCCCTGTCTATCACCAACTCCTGGAGCTTGCTCAAACTCATGTCCATTGAGTCGGTGATGCCATCAGTTATCCTCCCTAGAAAAGAACAAAAAAAGCAATTTCAGCTTCTAGGGTGGAAGAGGACAGTATTAATTACAATGAAGTTTGACAGACCAGAAGCCTCCCCAGGTCCACTCAGACCTTTTAAAGCTTTTACGCCCCCTGTAGAATATCACAAGTCCGTGAATATCACACCATAAAAGAGGGAAGAAGCTTATTTGGAAAGTGGTAATTGCTCAGGACTGGCCCATGTCTGAATGTGTCTCTCCTTACCCCTGGTTGTCTAAATCAGATCTTCTAAGCTGTCAGGAATGTTTTGTTTTGTTTTTTTGCTCTTTTCAGAAGCAGCTGCCAAAATGACAGTTAGCTTGGAAGTTGTACTTGGGGCATTTAATTGGTCTTAAATTAAAAAGAAAGACAGCAGTGTGGTTTTAATTCTGACATTTATTATAACAGATAAGGATTCTAGAAAAAATAATGTCAAGTCTAGGTGAAATTGGTAGGCTGTGAGATGGACTCAGAGGAATTTTTCATTTCTTAAAAAGGGAAAGGGAACCATGTTCCTGATGCAACTTAACTTGGCTCTCAGTATAGGGTCTGGAGCCAAATCTGTCATTAACATCAAAGACAGCCCCATGCCTGTGATATGCAGCCCTGGTGCACCCCTCCAGATGTCAGGTCTCCTTCTCTCTACTGTCTAGCAGTTAGAGTTAAGTCGATATATCTTAGAATCAGGAACTGGAGGGGGTGTTCAAAGATCATCTAGGTAATTTCTCTGCTTTCAGGGAGGAGTAAAACAAAACCATTCTATATGTGTTAAACATCCCTTGTTTGTAAATCATATTTCTTTGAAGGACTTCACAAATGAGCCCCAAGGGAGCTATTTAGAATTAATTCGTCACTATCAGGAAATGGTTGATGTGCATCCTCTCTTATTTCAGGTTCAGACTTCCCTTCTCATCCTTTTGTGAAGACACCGTAGTTGGTTATTATCATCCTGATAAGGAGCCTTCCTATTCTTCGTCTCTTGTTCCTTGAATACATTTGTTTCTGAAAACTTTTTTCACATACCCTCAAATCATATCCACTACTTGATGCAGAGTCCTCCCTATAGTTGGTGCTCTTATTTAATTAAGAAACCCAAACTGTGATCTGTATTCTAGAAAAAGTTTGGCTACTTGACATGCAGGAGCAATGATCTACAATGATCTACATCCAAGAGCAATGATCCTACAGCCCCAGACATTCCTCCAGGACCACACTGGCTCTTTAAACCACAGTGTGAGGATGGCTGATGGTCCTGTATGGTCCTGTTGCTTTCCTACTGAACTTTATGCAACTGTTTCATCTTTCTCAATGACCCTCCTTCACCAAATGTTCCTTTCTTCCCCCACCTTCTACCCTCCCTTCCTCTCGCCCTTTCTTTTTGAAGTATAATTGACATACAACATTATGTTATTAGTTTCAGTTTTATAACATAATGATTAGATATTTATGTAAAATGAAATGATTACCATATTACTCAATTTATAGATTCATTAAAAATTTTAACACTGTGAAGGCCTAACAAAACTCATCCATAATCCAGATGCAGCCTCGGGACCAGCATTTTGCTACCTGTGCACAGTTGGAAGATTATAAGCGGATTTATACGAGGTCTGTGGCAGCCTGGTTTGTGAATGTGCTTGAAAAATGCTTCTTGTTACTGTGGCTTCCCATTGTCTTTGATGGTGGCCATCTTCACTCACTTGTTGAGTTTCCTCTCATTCCAGGTCCTTGGATGTGGTTCTGTTGCCCAAGCTGTTCTCAGTCGAGGACACTTAGGAGGAGTCATCACTATCAATATTGGATTTCCAATGGCAGTTGTGATGGCCATTTATGTGGCTGCAGGTGTCTCTGGTAAGTACCAGAAACAATGACAACTGCTACTAACTCAGCCATATTCTGGGTGCTTTACATACCTTAGCTGTTATAGATCTCAGCAGTCCTACAAGAATATGTCTTTGACTCTATTTTTATAAATGACCAATTTTAAGTGGCCAGCAAATAAATGGTAAGTGACTTGCCACTGTGGCAACCTGTAGCAAGAGACAGAGATGAGGGTTGGAACTCAGAACTGACTGATTCCTACATCCGGCCACTGAATGGTATTCTTTACCTGTCAATACATTCTTTTACAAGCTCCATCTCACGCTTGAAACCACTTCCCAGATATTCTGCGAATGGCCCTGTGAAGATCACTTCAACAGAGGCAATTCCCTAGACCTTTATCAGAGCAATCACAGAGAGCCCTGGGCCATTTGCAAAGTAGCTGGTGCTTTCATGGAGGTGCAGGGCTAGTCAGCAGGTCTTGGTGCAACCCTGCCCTGAGTGGTAGGCTAATTAAAAGTGATTCTCGAGGTTCTGAGAAGCAAAATGAAATGATACTTAATGCAGCCTGGGACCTTAGGAAGGAACTGTGGAAATGATCCACTTCCCAGAGGGTTGCGCAAGCTTCAGCAGTCTTGTCTTGAGGACTCAGAACACTAAGGTAAGACTGTTGGTGATAAGGGAAGAAGGGAACCCCCGTGTGCTGGACACTGTATGGGGTGCTGCATACAATATATCTCCTTTCTCTTCTGTATTATCTCCTCTCTCTTCTACAGCAGCACTCTGAGGCAGGTATTGCTGTCCATTCTACAGAGAAAACTGGAGCCCTGAGGATTTTTGCTTTTTGCTTTGGGTTTGTGCTCAGTCATGTCTTTCCAACCCCATGGACTATAGCCCACCAGGCTCCACTGTCCATGGGATTGCCCAGACAAGAATACTGGAATGGGTTGCCATTTCCTACTCCAGGAGATCTTCTCGACCCAGGGATTGCACCTGTGTCTCTTGTGTGTCCTGCAATGGCAGATGGATTTTTACCACTGTGTCATCTGGGAAGCCCCCAAGGGGTTAAATTAATTGCCAGATATCCCACAGCTGGTAAAAAGGCAAATCAAAGATTTGGCCCAGGTCCACGAGCCAGCAAAGCACAGGTCCCCATTACTAAACAACACTTCCAATGATCTATCATGGGAAAAGCTGTTTAGACAGTGCTGTACAGGTCCAGTCCAGGGCAGGATGGTCCAGGGGAGGGTCCTGCAGGTGAGCTGGCTGGACTGGTGCCAAGCACTGCCATTGTAGCGCTGAAGAATGACCGCCCAGACCCCCTCAAAACCTCCGGGGACTAGGTGCTTGGAACAATCAGTTGCTGACTGGCAGCCTCTCCATCATAGGGACACACAGATCCCAAGGCAATCCAGGTTACAGATTCCCATGTATGTGGTTTGTTAAGTAGGAGCAGTATTTCTGTTAAAATTTGTGCCGAGCCTTTGCTGTGATCCCAGCACTCTACTGCCTACCCGAGATGCAAAAATAACCAGGGGGCCACCCTGAATGGGCCAAGGCGTGATGACGGTGCAGGCCTTGACACCGAGGCAGAATACCTTCTTGGCTTCAAACAAGCATGCAGAATGATCCACTGCCTCCCCTCCCCGCCATGCCCTCCCAACTACATTCAGACAAGTGTGGTTTCCACAAACCATGCAATATAAATGTAGGCATATTCTCAGCTACTTTTTTAAGGTGGAGATGTGGTTTGGCAGTATTTCACCTACCTAACTCCCTGAATTGAATATCACCAAATATTTACTTAGGATAAATTGGTTCCAGACCTTACCAATGTAGCTAACACTTCACACCACTGCTGTCAATGTCTGTTTGCATACACTAATATATTTGGAGTTATCATGGGAGGAAAAAGGGCAGAGACCAGCAGGAAGGGAGAAGAGGGAGTGAAAGATGGTGTGAGGTCTTCCCATCTGGCCGTTAGCCTAGGGTTGGTTAAGCCCCTGTGCTCAGAGGGGCTTGTTTTCACCAAACGCTGTTTCTGAGCAAGGCTCGGGAGTTGTCTAGTGTGTTTTGGAGAGACTGTGAGATCCCCAAATGCAAGGAGAACAGTCTCTGAGCCTGGCTAATAGAAGGCAGCTATTGCTGTTGTTTAGTCGCTAGGTTGTCTCCAACTCTTTGCAACTAGATGGACTATAGCCTGCCAGGCTCCTCTGTCCATGGGATTCTCCAGGCAAGAATATGAAGTGGGTTGCCGTTTCCTTCTCCAGGGGATCTTCCTGACCCAGAGACTGAACCCACGTCTCCTGCATTGGTGGGCGGATTCTTTGCCACTGAGCCACCTGGGATGGCAGTGTTGTGCTGGGGGAAGGGAGCTTATCTCCCATCTCTTTTTGGAACTAAGCGCTATTCAGGTTCCCTGGGAACTGGGGGAAACAGGCACAGATAACACACTGGCCCAAAGATGACATCAGTGCAGACTCAGTATTGGCTCTAACAGCCTGGGAATAGGAGAGGAAGATGCTGGGGGTGGGGGGGTGGGGGGGTGGGGGGGATGGTGAGGGGGAGGTGATTCTCTCATAGTGGTTGCAACTAACATACTGGTTTGTGGACGCTTGTGAGGCCCTCTTTGGCAATTCCAAAAATAACCAATGTATATTAGGCATAAACATAAATGGAACCCCACTTTGTGGTCCAGACTGGGAAGGTCAGCTGACCTCTGGTTTTGGAACAGAAAGCGTTACTTCTCTGCACTGGACTCACTTACCCTGCCCCCTTGTGAGCTTGCCAGGAATCTGGCAATCCAGTCTGGTCAATCAGACTGCAATATCTTACAATGTCTTGATTATGCACCATGCCACACTCAGCATTTGCTCTGCTGACTTGTACCTTGACTAGGGCAGCTGTTTCTGATGCAGCATTTTATAGGCAATAAAAATCTCCAGAAAAAAAGTAAGATTGCTTAATGAGAGCTAAAATAGTAGGATTATCTCCATCATAGAGTTGTCTGTGGGTGGCAGGGAGAAGGGGACTCATCTAGGACAGAACCCTGAACCGGATCACCTTGCTCATGTAAGACTTTCATCTCAGATCTCCTCCTGGGCTTTGGTTCCACCCCCCTCCCCCCGGGTCTTTGTGTGAATAATCTGACCATCACAACCACTTTGACAGCCAAGATACGCGTGTGGCCCTCTCCAGCTGAACACTCCTGTTTCTTCTGTAGTGCTGCTCTGTTTTGTCTTTCAGGTGAGGATGAGCCTAGTGATCATGCATCTCTGCAAAGAGAAACTCTCATTGCTTTGCAAAGTGCCCTCCCAGACACACCCTCTCTGACCCTCAAACAGCTTTCCCTCTGTAGATCTTTGCAGGCTGAGTTATCTCAATAAAGACCTCTGGCTATTTACATCTCCAACTTTCATATCTTGAACACCTATTAAGTGCCTTATATTATGTGAATGTCAAAGTGAATAGTAGTTTTGGCCTCAGAGTGCTTTTGAGAGACTAAAAGCACAAATCTCTTATGCTTTAAACCTACACCAAGTTTTATTTTGGAAGAGGAGCTTGCTAAATAATAACTCTCCTGTTGGTGGACTCATCTCAGGGGAGATATTTTTGATTGGAGGTGATTTCTTATGTCCCCACGTCCTTTCACATTGGATCCCTCCAGGCTGGCTGGGTGGCGGTGACCCTCCAACTGGCCTCTGGAAGGAGAGAAACAGGGCTGGCTCCAGGAACTTCTCCCCTGCCCTATGTGGTCCCCTCTTCTAAGCCCTGTTTCCAGCTTCCTAGTAAGCTATGCTCTTGCCAGCCTCCAGAATTATGACTCTCTTAGATTTAAAAGCAAAACAAAACAGGTGACGCACGTGTAAGTCTTCAGGAAGTCACCTGTGCTTTGATGTATTGACATTTTCTTGTTTATATGAGCCCCCGAGGGGCAGAGTCAGGTGAAGACAGGGCGCTCATAGTTTAGCCAGCAGTCAGAATCCCTCCCCACTGCAAGCCCACCTTGGCTTAGGGATTCAGGAGAAGCACAACTTTCTTCCTGGAGGCAATTAGAGGAGGGAGGCTTCCAAAAACAAGCTTATCAGTAGGTTCTGTGTGGAGTCAAATGGCAAAGTGTCATCGTCATCATGGCCATCATCATCATTATCACTGCTTTGTTTACAGCTATTTCCATAACCCGGAGGTCCACATTTCAGTGTGGTTACACTGACAGTCACTCTAATCCCCCCAACACACGCACTAAATATCTTCTGTACTCTTCACATGTGTGTCCTTCGTCCCTAGGAATCAAGCCCATATGTTCAAAGATGACTTTTGAAAATTTTTTGCCTGCCTTCTAAGGCAGAGAAAACCTTTACAAACTTGGTAAAGAAAACCTAGAAACGTCAAAACATAGGCCCTAGAGTTCAAATAGGCTTGGATTTGAATCCAAGACCTACCACTTATTAGCCATGTGACCATAAACTTTTACTTGACTTCTCAGTTTCCCCACCAGTAAACTGGAGTAGGACCCATCTCACCGGTTTCTTAGGAGGATCAAATGGTGTAATTACCCATATGACAGCATCTGGCAAGTGTTCAATATGTGTGGTTGTTGCTGCTACAGCAAAGTCAGCTGGGGATAGCAGTAGCCTGTAACAAGCCCTCTGCCTGAACTTGCAAATGGATAAGAATCAAAGAGAATGATTTCTTGAGTCAGAGTTTAGGTTGGAGTGAAGGAAATGTTATTCTATTTCTGTGTGTGAGATATACATTGTCTAGGCAGAGAAACTACAGAGAATCCATTCAGATGTTGTGACCACCTCAGAATAAACTGAGCCCCTTACCTCAGTGAGGAGCACAGCCCACCAAGGGAGGGTCATTAAAGACATGTCTCTTTTTCAGTCCTAATATTATTTCTATATCCTCTGGACATGGACTTAGGAATTACTAATATAGAATTTAATATACTAATTTATATTTAATATACTAATGTAGAATTTAATATAGAATTAAATCTTCTAAGTATATTATATAAATATATTGATTTTAAAATATACTGAAGCTAACAGTTTACATCAACCTCTTTGGGGTTATTGATTTATAGATAGGCAAAGCCCAGTAGAACAAATTGTGGAAAATTCTCAAAGAGATGGGAATACCAGACCCCCTTACCTGCCTCCTGAGAAATCTGTATGCAGATCAAGAAGCAACAGTTAGAACCATACATGGAAAAGCAGACTGGTTCCAAATTGAGAAAGGAGTATGTCAAGACTGTATATTGTCACCCTGCTTATTTAACTTATATGCAGAGTACATCATGCAGCATGCTGGACTGGATGAAGCACAAGCTGGAATCAAGATTGCCAGGAGAAATATCAATAACCTCAGATATGCAGATGACACACCACCCTTATGGCAGAAGGCAAAGAAGAACTAAAGAGCCTCTTGATGAAAGTGAAAGAAGAAAGTGAAAAAGCTGGCTTAAAACTCAACATTCAAAAAATGAAGATCATGGCCCCTCCAGTCCCATCACTTCATGGCAAATAGATGGGGTAACAATGGAAACAATGACGGACTTCATTTTCTTGGGCTCCAAAATCACTGCAGATGGTGACTGCAGCCATGAAATAGAAAGACACTTGGAAAAAAAGCTATGATCAACATAGACAGTATATTAAAAAGCAGAGACATTACTTTGACAACAAAGGTCCATCTAGTCAAAGCTATGGTTTTCCCAGTAGTCATGTATGGATGTGAGAGTTGGACTATAAAGAAAACTGAGCACTGAAGAATTGATGCTTTTGAACTGTGGTGTTGGAGAAGACTCTTGAGAGTGACAGCCAGGAGATCCAACTGGTCCATCCTAAAGGAAATCAGTCCTGAATATTCATTGGAAGGATTGATGCTGAAGCTGAAACTCCAATACTTTGGCCACCTGATGCAAAGAACTGACTCATTTGAAAAGACCCTGATGCTGGGAAAGATTGAAGGCAGGAGGAGAAGGGGATGACAGAGGATGAAATGGTTGGATGGCATCACTGACTCGCTGGACATGAGTTTGAGCAAGCTCTGGGAGTTGGTGATGGACAGGGAGGCCTGGTGTGCTGCAGTCCATAATGGGTTGCAAAGAGTTAGACACGACTGAGTGACTAAACTGAACTGAAAGCCCAGTAGACACAGATGATAGATGGACAGAATGATAGACATATAAATAGACAGAGATGGAAAATAAGCCACTTGAGTACAAGTTTCTTTATAAAATAGACTTTGAGAATGCTAAAGTTCCTGAAAAGTATCTAATGATGCCATGAGGATTAATAGTCCTCTCTTCCTCCCCACTCTCACACACACCCCCCCTCCCCGTGTCCTCACATATGGTTCCTTACCTAGAAGACTGAGTTCTGCCTGCAGTCCCTAGACAAGCTTTTCTTCACAATAGTTCTCCCTGGCCTGCCCTCTGACTTTCTTAATCACCTTGTCTTCTTTGCAGGTGGCCACGTCAACCCAGCTGTTTCTTTTGCATTGTGTCTTTTTGGACGGATGAAGTGGTTCAAATTCCCCTTTTATGTGGGGGCCCAGTTCTTAGGAGCCTTTGTAGGGGCTGCAACCCTCTTTGGCATTTACTACGGTGAGTAGGGCCCCTGAGTCCAGAGATTAGGGAGGGCTGGGTCCAAGCTGAAATTCAGGATTACCTGGCAGGAAGAGGTGAGATAAGGAAGAACAGGACACAGTCTATCATACACTTGACAGGCAGTTCTAAGTGTCCTGAATGAAAGTGAAAGTGTTGGCTGCTCAGTTGTGTCCAACTCTTTGTGACCCCATGGACTGTATCCTGCCAAGCTCCTCTGTCCATGGAATTCTCCAGGCAAGAATACTGGAATGGGTTGCCATTCTTTTATCCAGGGGATCTTCCCAGTCCAGGGATTGAAACTGGGTTTCCTGCATTGCAGGTGGATTCTTCGCCATCTGAGCCATCAGGGAAGCCCTTCTAAGGGTCCTAAGTTCTAATTAACAGGGCCAACATTATTCTCAGGGCACGTTCATGAAGCCTCTTAGTGAAAATGATTACAACTTAAATGAAGGGGAGAACATAAAGGAATTCAACACGTACTACAGTGTAAACAATGCCAAAGCCAGCAACAGGCTGCTGGCTTCTCCATAGCTTTCTCTGAATTGGCTGGGAGAGAAGTCATTGGCTAGTGGCAAAGGGAATGATGAGTAAGTATTTAGAGAAGGAATTTGGAGCAAAGCCTTTGAGGGAAGGAACACAGCAGAGAAATGGGGTGAGTAGGGAACCCCATCTCCCTTTTGTCCAACAGCCAGGGCTTCCATTTGGCAGCAGTCCTGGGGGAATGAAAGTTCTGATGATGGAAGATCCAGACTTCAGTTCCATGTGAACTAAGTAAGTAGCTGTGTGGCTTCAATAAGTCATCTGACCTTATTGGTCTCAGTTTCCTCCTCTGGAAAATGAGGGAATGAACCAGATGCCTTCAGAACCCCTTCAAACTAAAAAATCTTGGGGTTCCATAAAATCAACTGTTAAAGTAGTTCCTTCTATCTAACCCAAAGTAAATCTCAATACCTTATATCTCTCAAGCTGGAACACTTAGGAAACTAGAGTTTATGAGCCAAGCCTAATAGCGGAACCTGTGGAAAGGCACCTTTTCCCACAGACTAGCCTAAGAATTAGAGTGTAAGAAAACTGCAGGAGAACTTGAGATCAGACCAGAAACCTGGAGAGTCAGCTGCTGGGTCAGGAGAGGCCTGGAGGTCTGGGACAACCTAGACCACACTGGCTATGTCAGGGTCTGCTGTGTCTCTTGCTCTAAGAGCATCTTTACTGTACTTGATGCCCTCAAATGCTGGACTGGTATTAGGGGTTACTGAGAACCCTCTGGGAATCAAGAATTCTGCCTAGAGCAGGTCTAAGCTTCACTTTGGCTTTTAGTCAATCTTGCAAATTCCAACAATCCCCTCAGAGAAAACTGGTTCCCAAGACCCACTGAATAAGGATTTGGCTCAAGTGTGGGGAGAACCATCCGGGGCAGCCAGGGCTTTCTCTCTCTGACCCGTCACCCTGGGAGCTCTCTGGGCATCTAAAACTACCATACTATGAAACAAAGAGAGGCGAATGATATGGATCTGCCAAACTGAACCTGGCTATTTGTCTGTACTTGCTCAGCACAAGACCCAGCATAGGCCTCCCTCTCTTCTGCCCAAAGGACACTAATGTGCCAGAGTTCTGTCTTCTGTAGATGCATTTATGTCTTTTGCTGGTGGAAAGCTGCTCATCGTGGGAGAAAATGCAACAGCACACATTTTCGCAACATACCCAGCTCCGTATCTGTCTCTGGCGAATGCATTTGCAGAACAAGTAAGTGCATATGCAACAAAGACCCAACTTCAGTGAAAAGACATAATCTAATAAGGAGGAGGAATAGGAACATTACAGGCCTATCAGAAAGGAAAGTCTGTGTTTCCAAAGTTGGAGGTCCCTAAGCATAACCCTAGCTTTGCTGACAAATTCTTGCACTTGCCAAAGTTGAATCACTAAGAGTTTCCTGCTTCCTCTTTAAAAAGTACACTTGTTTCACATCAGCTGAAATTCAGAGAAAAGTGGAGGAGTGGATATTTCAACCCCAGTAGGGGCAAATGGGGTTTGCTTTGCAAAACTGTCTCATTTGTTCACATCATGTAAATGTAGAGATCTGGAGAAAAGACGTTTTGTTCTCAGTTCAAGAACTGTGAAGTGTGGTAGGCGAGCTGAGGGTCCTTGGTGTCTCCCCATGTGTATAGGTTTATCTAGACTCTCCAGGCAGCTAGAAGTGTCTCTCCTTATTGACATTTAAACAAGGGGCATCCAAGCATTTGTCATGTAGCCAAGAGCACAACTATTCTGGTCTTAAATCAGTTGTCTGAGTCTCATCCTGATTCTTCTGCTTAGGAGCTCTGTGCCCTTGGGCAAGTTTCTTAACCTCTTTCAATCCTCCTTTTCTCATCTGTAAATTGTGAATAAATAGGATTTATCTCAGATTAGTGTGAGGTTCTAATGAGAAAAAGCAATGAAGTACCTGGCACATAATAAGTATCTGGTAGATAGTGGCTGTCATTTCGTTGTTAAAGTAAAATAGTAATACGATTTCCAAATAATAGTTTAGAAATTTTAGACAGTGGAGACTGGGGGAAACACCCTCTATACCACACCACTTCAAAATACCTGCTACCATTGTTTGTATAATCCCTTACAACTTGTCTTTTATGTTATTTTCAAGTATAAAATGTAGTGCACATATAATTTTTTACCTGCCATAAGTATTTTAAAATTTTACCACATGTGAAAAAAAAAATTTTACCACATGTGTGTGCTTACTCACTCAGTCATGTCTGACTTTTGTAACCCCATAAACTGTAGCCCGCCAGGCTCCTCTGTCCACGGGGGTTCTCCAAGGCAAGGGTACAGGAGTGGGTTGTCATTTCCTTCTCCAGTGGATCTTCCTGACTCAGGAATCAAACCGGGGTCTCCTTCACTGCAGGCGAATTCTTTACCAACTGAGCCACGAGGGAAGCCTCTGATTTTTTAAAAAATGTTACCACATAGTTTTTGTTTTCTAATTTTTTTTTTTAAAAAACATACCTGTTCATTTTCATGTTAACCTAGAGAAATATTTCATGTTAATGTGTGATTTAATCATCACATTGTACACACAGATTTCATATTTATTGTTTTTAGTGGCTGTATAATAGACTATAGAATGGGCACTACACAATTGCTTTTGCCCTGTTGATGTGGAATCCAGTTTTCCAGTACTATAAATGATGCTTAATTATGTATTTGCATACTCATTTTATGATTTTTCCATATTTTAGATTATTTCCAAGGTGTAGTTCTCAAGTATCCAACTGGGTCCAACTGAGTACACGCGTTTATGGGCTTTTTAAAATACATATTGCTAAATCATTGCTACGTTGCCTTTCAAAAGTATAAAACATGATTAGTTCAACCAGGAAAGCCCGAGAGGACTGATATCACTTCCCTAACATATAGTATTGCTTGCATTTTTTTCATTACCAATCAGTTTTCCGCACTTATTTGCTTTTCAAATCTATTTTTCTTTTATGAGCTGTCTTTTCATTTCCTTTGCCCATGTATCTATTGACGTCTCACACCATTTTTCTCACCAATTTGAATGAGCCCCTTTGTTCATTTCTCCAGCCTGCAGCTTGCCCTCTATTTATCTGGTAGTAGCTTAACAGGTCAGTGTAGTTGAGATACAGTCTCTAGAGTTAAACTCTCTGCATCCACAGCTGATTGCCACTGACTGTGTCACCTAGGTCAGGTAACCAGTCTGTAAAGGAGAGAGATGTGAGCACCCACGTCTAGGACTGCTATGAGAAGAAAAGGCTCTGACACGGTGCTCAGCCAGTGTATGTTGCTTTTTACTAGGTTTGTTTTTAACAATAGGGGATGCATTTTGAGGTGGGCCAGTGGGAAGAATATAAGTTGAACCCCTCGTACATTTTCTCCTTACCCAGGTAGTGGCCACCACGCTCCTCCTCATTGTCATCTTTGCCATTTTTGACTCAAGAAACTTGGGAGTCCCCAGAGGTCTAGAGCCTGTGATCATTGGCCTCCTGATTGTTACCATCGCCGCCTCTCTGGGAATGAACAGTGGCTGTGCCATGAACCCGGCTCGAGACCTGAGTCCCAGACTCTTCACTGCTTTGGCAGGTTGGGGGTTTGAGGTGTTCACGTAAGTAACAAAATGATCGGGGAAGCAGGAGGAAGATTCCTGCTGTGCCTCAATGGGGAAGGCTCGGCTCCGACCTGGAGATCCAAGAGAGCGCAGATGGGAGAGTGAGGGGAAGAGCACCCTCGTCATAAGTGTGGAACGTATCACTGGTGGTTTATGATGTGTGTGCGTAAGACAGAAAGAGAAGGGGGAGGGAGACAGAGAGGAATCACTGACACTATTCTAATCACCACTACTGGCAGCACTGGAGCCACTACGGAGTAAGCATTGTGAGGACAGGGACCTCAACCGTGTTTTCACTGCTCTGTCTGCAGTGACTGAAATAGGGTCTAGCACATAGAAAGCCTCAATGAAAGCTATTGAATAAAAGAGTGGATAAATGCTCTGTGCCACATATGTTCTAGGAGATGAAGGATACAAAAAGAATCAAGCATCATTCCTTGTCTTTTTTGTTTCTTTTGTTGTGTCGGGTCTTCGTTGCGGCACACGGGATTTTCCCCATGTCATGCAGAACCTTTTGTTGCAGTGCATAGACTCTCTCCAGTTGTGGTATGCAGGCATAGTTGCTCCATGGCATGTGGGATCTTAGTTCCCTGACCAGGGATTGAACACAAGACCCCTGCATCACCAGGCAGATTCTTAACCACTGGACCACCAGGAAAGTCCCCAACATACCCTATCTTTAAGGAACAAACAATACAATGAATTTTCTACAGCAGTGGTTCTCAGCCAGTGGCAGTTTTGCCCCCAAGGATGTTTGGCAATGCATGGTGACACTTTGGGTTGTCACAGCTGGGCATGGTGGGGCAGAACTTGTCACCAGTATCTAGTGGATAGAGTCCAATGTGGGATACTGCTAAGCATCTTATAGTACCCAGGACAGATCTCCACAACTAAGAATTATTCAGCCAAAAATGCTAAGAGTACCACAGCTGAGGAGCTCTGTTCCAGAATGACCATACTAGAACATGAAAAGGTGGAACAAAATGTTCACAGCTAGGATGGATCCTTTGTATTCTTCCAATGGACCATTGAGAACATATGTTAAAGGTCTCCTTATTTCCAAAGACCAGAATTAACCCATGAGTTTCCTTTAATTCCAGTTTCCTGAGGTTCACTCCAGGAGACCACTGTCCTCACCTCACCACCGAGACACCTCTGTGAGCTTCACACAGACCCCTAAAACAAAGACGCACCAGAGTGATCTGGCCTCGCTTTGAACCTTGCTTGGTGATTCACCCAAAGCTCTAAGAGTGATGGTAGTTCTAAAACAGGTCTTGCCTGTTCTCTTTGCTTTGTTGCGTATATGGCAGGAGCCCACATCTGTGATGTTGAAATCACCTAATGCCAAACTCTGAGCACCGCATCCCTTATTAGGATCAGGATTTTTCCCCTCATGCATGCATTCATTCATCCATGCAGCTTCCTAATCCCTTATTCAAGGCCCAGTGCTAAAGATGCCCTTTACTGCTTTGTTTATGTTCTGTTTCAGAGGGTGAGCATAGGCTCTTACACAGGTTGAAGCTGTCAAATGACTAACCCCAGGAGTTGAGAGAAGATTTGCAGCTCCAAATTTAGGAAGTATGGGAGTGAAAGTAGGGTTGTTTTATAGTATTTGGACATGTTCAATCAGAGACAGAGAGGCTATTTCAAGCAGAGAGGCATCTGTATCTAAAGACAGTATATTAAAATGACACATGATCTAGTCTAGTTGGAAGCCTGTATGAAGAAACTTGGAAGAGCAATTGTTTCAGATCATAGAGGACTAGATTTCTAGAACAAGACTCTGGGATTTTTGTTGCTCTCTTTTCTATAGATTACAGGGAGCAGCAAAGGATTTAGGGCAAAAGTTTGATGTGTTTAGGACTTCAATTTACCAAAAATTAATCTGACATTATTATATAAAAGAAATTAAAAAGGAGTAGAAGGGGCAGATACCAGTTATGAAATAGCTAGGCTGGCTGATAATCCTCTACCAAAGGTTCAAAAGAAAACCTTTGAGTGGTAATAGGACTCCAAAGGGTCTCTAGAGTTCCATTCTTTCAGGGTTTTCCACCCAAGACAAGCATCTCAGAAGATTTCCTAGTTTGAATCCACATCCAGGATCTCAGATGAAACCTAGACTGCCTTATTCTCAGACCCTCATTTGCCCCTATATGGCAAGAAGTGAGGATGACAGGGAAGTAGGTTCCCGAGAGTCTGACAAGGGCAAGACAGACCCTATCTGACTCTTGCTTCCCCTTAAGTATTAGGATGTAAAAGGGCTTCTCTGATGGCTCCAATGGTAAAGAATCTGCCTGCAATGAGGGAGACCGAGGTTCCATCCCTGGGTTGGGAAGATCCCCTGGAAAAAGGAATGGCTACCCACGCCAGTATTCTTGGGCTTCCCTCGTGGCTTAGATGGTAAGGAATCTGCCTGCAATGCAGGAGACCTGGGTTTGATCCCTGGGTCAGCAGGATGCCCTGGAGAAGGAAATGGGAACACACTCCAGTATTCTTGCCTGGAGAATCCCATGGACAGAGGAGCCTAGTGGGCTATAGTCCATGGGGTTGCAAAGAGTCAGACATGACTGAGCGACTAAAACACACACACACATTAGGATGTAAGCAAGTGGTCTTCACTAATTCACATTAAAGTGTTAATAGCTTAATAGATAAGGATCTCAGGGGTGTTGTTAATTTTTAAAATAACTAAGCCAAAGAAATGAATCCTTGATGATAGTACCCTATGCAACTGATACACTTTTATGGTATCCCCCCCAAATCACAGCACACCAATAACCTTGTTTACCTGTAAGGCCAGGCAGGAAGCCACATCAAATCTCCTCCATTTAAGCCTTGTGACCTTAGCACAAAATATCCAGCTCAAGAGGGTCCAGACAGTGAAAGGAGGATATGCATGCTGGCAGGTATCTTAGCCCCTAATCTGTTAAATGACAGTGAAAGATTCACCACAAATCAGTGCTAGAAAAAAAGGAAGTGATGGACCAAATAAGGTAGTTAAATTCACTTCATGTGCTGAAGAGAGTTTCCCCAGTGGCTCAGTGGTAAAGAATCCACCTGCCAAGCAGGAGATGTGAGTTCAATCCCTGGGTCAGGAAGATCCCCTGGAGAAGGTAATTGCAGCCCACTCCAGTATTCTTACCTGGGAAATCCCATGGACAGAGGAGGCTGGTGGGATATAGCCCAGGGGGGTCGCAGAGTTGGACACGGCTGATTAAACAGCAGCAGTATGTGCTGAAGAGAAGGTGCCTCTCACAGAAAATTCTTTTCATAGAAAATTTGGAGGCATGGCATAAGGTTCTGTGAGAAGAGTGGAGTGCAACGTCCTCTTTCCTGCACAGTAAGAGTGCCATCTGGTGGCCACTGTGCTCAATCTCAGTGCTCTTCCCTGGAACCTGCATTGATGATCTAAGATTCAGGATCTAAGAGAGTGCTTGCATGATACCGGTGGAAAGGACCACGGTATAGATGGAAGTATGAAGCTCAGAGATGGGGAGACTTGCTCAAAGACCTTCTGTAGTCCTGAGGTCCCAGGTGGCTCAGTGGTAAAGAACCTGACTGCCAATGCAGGAGACATGGGAGACTTGGTTTCAATGCTTGGGTTGGGAAGATCCTCTGGAGGAGGAAATGGCAGCCCAGTCCACTGGAGTAGAGAATCCCACGGACAGAGGAGCCTGGAGGCTACCATCTATAGAGTCATAAAGAGTCGGACACAACTGAGCGTGCATGCACACACACACACACACACACATGCACAGAGCAATGTGCTAAGTGCTCTAAACCCAGGACACTCCTGAGATTAGAACTAGGTCTCATGGATTCTAGAGTAGGCCCCCCTTTATTATTTTTAAAGTAATTTAATTAAAATATTATATTAAATATTATAATATTTCCTTTATTATTCTAATAAAAGTTCAATACAAACAGTTCCATGGAAATATGTATAGTTATTAAAAATGAAATTGTAAATAGCAGCCATGAATATGTCCGCCAAATAAAACACTGAAATTCCTATGCAGAGTTGTGTTCCTTTTGTTTCCTCTGCCTCCTCTGCATTACCCTGAACTTTTTGTTCATAATTATCCTTCTTTTAAAAAGTTTTATCTCAAATGCACACATCCTTAAACAACTACACAACTATACTGTATAGTTTTACTTGCTTCAGAGCACTCATGGTCCTTTCTACTGAATTATCTAAATGGATTTTCTGTCCCCAGAAGAGATGGTGACAATTCACAGAGACACCTGATTTCTCCCAGAACTATACCTCCAATATAATGTATTGACACTGAGAACTTCTGGATGGGAGAGGGAATCCTTATCAGAAAATACATTTGAGTAAGCTGTGACCTCAAAATATAAGTATGGAATTAAATTATATTTAGTATTTAATTCATATATCTACCTTTGAATTTTTAATTCATTCATTGACAAATGTTTCCTGATTATTTATCTTGTGATTGCCCTCATTCACCAATCATGTCCAGGAATCTCTCCACATCTCCCTTCCATTCACAATCCCCAGGACGCGCCACTTCAGTATGAGGGAAAGGCAACTCCTGAATAATCGACCTGAACTTACCCTGAAGTGAAAAAGTGAAGTCGCTCAGTTGTGTCTGACTCTTTACGACCCCATGGATTGTAGCCTACCAGGATCCTCAGTCCATGGGATTTTCCAGGCAAGAATACTGGAGTGGGTTACCATTTCCTCCTCCAGGGGATCTTCCCAGCCCAGGGATCGAACCCTGGTCTCCCACATTGCAGGCAGACGCTTTACCATCTGAGCTACCAAGGAAGTCCATTTAATGTGGTGAACTTGCCCTAGATGCCCTCTATTGTTGCCATGGGTTCAGGGACTATGTTTTCTGAAAAGAAAATAAATGGGGCATTTCTCTCACAGGTACCAATAGAACAATGGAATTGGTCAACTGAAATCAGTATCCTGCAAAATAGTACCTTTAAGCAATTAACACAGACATTTTTCTGGCATCCCCTCAGTCATAGGATGCAAATGACCTTGCTTACCAGTAAGGTCAGGCAGGGAACCTGCTCCTCCCTTTAAGCCTGGCACAACACATCCAACTCAAGGGGGTCCAGCCAGTGAAAGGATACCGGTCACCAAGCTACCATGAGTGCCATTCTACTTAGCTCCGGCTGATTTAAAAAGGAGCCATGAGCAGGAGCACAACTAGCTGGTAGTGAGTAACTAGCAGTGATACCAGAAGGAAGGCCAAGCGATGTATCACTAATTTCTTTGTTTGCTTTCAGAGTTGGGAATAACTTCTGGTGGATTCCTGTAGTGGGCCCTTTGGTTGGTGCTGCTCTTGGAGGCCTCATCTATTTTCTTCTCATTGAAATCCACCACCCAGATCTGACCCCAGACTTGGAGACAGAACAACCGGAGGACAAACCAGAGAAATATGAACTGAATGCAATCATGTAATAGCATGCTCAGGTCTGGGTTTACAGTTGGCTACCTACTGGGCTTTACCTTTCACAAAGCATCTTCACACACATTATCTAATTGAATCCTCCTAGTGACCATCTGGGGTAAATATCAAGCTGCTCATCTTTCAAATTAGAAAACAAAACCTTAGGAAAGTTGAATTGCCTAAGGTCCCATGGAAAGTTGAACATCATTGAATGCATCCTACACATATCAGATTAAGAACTGCACAAAAAGTTTGACCAGCCCCTCTTGGCTCACCAGAAGAGGGATTGGCAGCTGCTAGAATTTGTACACAGCCTGGGCAACATTCTTCTGGATCCTAAGTTATGACACTGCCATTGTCTGATTTTATTCCCAGAAACACTACAAAAGGAAGAGGCAGCCCATATTTTTCATCTGCTGAAGAACATTATCAGAGGTGACTAAGGGTGACCCTTCCTAGGCCACGCTTAGTCTTGATACGTCCTGATCTTCCTGACCATCCCAGCATTGTACATTCCAGAAATTTCCTCTTGGTCAGGCTCCTCCCTGTCACTTTAGTCAAGAGTCAGTGAATTAGGGAACTCTGCTCGATGTTATGAGGCAGTCTGGATGAGAGGGAGTTTGGGGGAGAATGGGTACATGTGTATGTATGGCTGAGTCCCTTTGCTGTCCACCTGAAAGGAAACTCTATCACTGCACTGTCAATCAACCATACTCCAATATAAAATTAAAAGTGTAAAAATTAAAAGGTAAAAAGTCTCTGTGAATTACAAGCCTGAGAAATTGTTCTACATTAAGTGATGCGCTTTAACTGTTACAAAGCTCAGAATTCCCAGACTATCCAGCTTCTCAACTGTTTTGTAATGATAACAGAACAACCAAAAGCACATGTGAAATGTCTCCAGGGGCCTTTAATAGACAGTAATAGACTGACAGATGGAATTTCTTCTTGCTCTGAAAATACTGGCATTTCCTATTTGAAATAAATTTGGAGTGATGTGTTTGTTTGGAGTTTTTATGAGTAATAAGATTGCTAAGTACACTTAGTTTAGAGGTTGTCTGTCCTATCTACAAATTAAGATCTCTGGGGAACTTCTAGAAAAACAACTTGGTAAACATCTTGGGTGATTCTAAATGGGTGTAGCCAGTGTTGAGAACATTGACTTGGTTAAAGTACATGGGTTTCCTTGAGAAACACGCCTAGTGGTGACCAAGTAATTCCTGGCAGGATTCTCAGACTTGGGGTCCTCAGGGGTTAGAGGGAAGTGGCTCTCAGAAGGGGACAGTTTACTCCTCCTCACTCTCATCTATCACCCCCGCAACGGGACATTTGGCCACATCTGGGGACAGTCTTGGCTGTCACAGCTGGGGTAGGAGTGTTATTGGCATCTAGTGGGTAGAAGTCAGAGATGCTGCTGAACTTCCTACCACACACAGGATAGCCCTCCCCTGCAGCACCCATTCATACCCAGATGTCTTCAGTGCGAAGGTTGAGAGACCCTAGATTCAAGAACAGACAGGCACATAAAAGAAGACACCGAAGTCCTTGTGCCTTGATCCCAGTTCTGTCAAAAACAGAGATGCCAGATGAGTCAGAACGAGACCCCGTGGGTACATTATACTTCTTACCCCAAATCAAGAGGTGACCCCAAATTTGAGTTTCCAGGTTGGACAGTAGAATCTATGACCCCACAGGTGCTCATTAAACACTGCTTGGTGATTAATGACTGGAATTATGAAGAGAAAATGTGCGCTTATGGAAATCAACCCCAGAAAGGTTTTTTTATTTATGGAAAAAAGAAGTTCTCTTGTTCCAGGTGCGTGCATTCAAATCCTCTGTCTTTTCCAGTTTACAAATGGGTTTGCCTGGGTCAGGTACTTATCCAAGAGAATATCCATGTTTCAGAAGTCAGTAAGAGCCAAATACCTGCCTTTAAAAAACAGATTCTTAGGACTTCATTGGCTGTCCAGTGGTTAAGACTTTGCCCTCCAATGTAGGGGTTCCATCCCTCATCGGGGACCTAAGATCCCACAAGCCTCTTGGCCAAAAAAAAAAAAAAAAAAAAACCCAAAATGAAAACATAAAACAGAAGCAATATTGTGACAAATTCAATAAAGACTTTAAAAATGATCCACATCAAAAAAAATTTTTTTTTAAAGTAATTATTTAGGAACCAGAATTGCAACATTTCCCCTTCTCTCTTCCTTGTCAATGGCAAAACTTAGTAGACATGTTTATTATCAAAGATAGAATTTCTCTATGAGTCCCTAACTAGTTGAGATCTCAGAGTATGCCAAAGGTTGTAGGACTTTTCTAACCATCAACAGCCAGAGTTTTTTTTTTTTTTCCATTTATTTTTATTAGTTGGAGGCTAATTACTTTACAATATCGTAGTGGTTTTTGCCATACATTGACATGAATCAGCCATGGATTTACACATATTCCCCATCCCGATCCCCCCTCCCACCTCCCTCCCCACCCCATCCCTCTGGGTCTTCCCAGTGCACCAGCCTCGAGCACTGTCTCATGCATCCAACCTAGGCTGGTGATCTGTTTCACCCTTGATAATATACATGTTTTGATGCTGTTCTCTCAGAACATCCCACCCTCGCCTTCTCCCCAGAGTCCATAAGTCTATTCTGTATATCTGTGTCTCTTTTTCTGTTTTGCATATAGGGTTATCGTTACCATCTTTCTAAATTCCATATATATGCATTAGTATCCTGTATTGGTCTTTATCTTTCTGGCTTACTTCACTCTGTATAATGGGCTCCAGTTTCATCCATCTCATTAGAACTGATTCAAATGAATTCTTTTTAATGGCTGAGTAATATTCCATGGTGTATATGTACCACAGCTTCCTTATCCATTCGTCTGCTGATGGGCATCTAGGTTGCTTCCATGTCCTGGCTATTATAAATAGTGCTGCGATGAACATTGGTGTGCACATGTCTCTTTCAGATCTGGTTTCCTCAGTGTGTTTGCCCAGAAGTGGGATTGCTGGGTCATATGGCAGTTCTATTTCCAGTTTTTTAAGAAATCTCCACACTGTTCTCCATAGCGGCTGTACTAGTTTGCATTCCCACCAACAATGTAAGAGGGTTCCCTTTTCTCTACACCCTCTCCAGCATTTATTGCTTCTAGACTTTTGGACAGCAGCCATCCTGACTGAACAGCCAGAGTTAATACTCAGCTGTTGAAAGAAATAAGTGGAGTAAAAGCATCATATTTAAAAACCCAATCTTTAAAAATAAAGTATTATTACTTTTAAATTGCTCACACACACACACTTGCATTTTTTTAAAAGTATGTCAGTGCTCAAAAATGTTGTCATGGATAAAGAATTATAGCTTCTTGTTATAGAGAATGGTTCACAAGTTTTATTTAGCCACAGAAGAACCTATTGTTCAAATAAAATCTTAATGTGGTATCCAAAAGTCAACCAGAGCTGCTATAAATAGAAAAAGGTCTGGGAAGAGGAAGTAAGTTTCATCCTGCCTGTGATACCTTGCTCCCCTAGTGCAGCCACTGAGGGGTGTCTGGAAAGAAATCCTGTCTGTGCGGTGGGGGATCTTCAGAACACAAGTTGGAAACCACTGATAAGAGTTTGGGACAAGTTGTTGCTAAACATTTTTATAAAAGTTTCCAGTATAGAACCTAGCAAAGGCCATGTTAATTCAATCTCAGGCAATTTGTCAAAGATGTCTTAATAAACAAACTTAAGTTAAATGGAATTAACCTACATCACCCACAAAAAGATGTTGTATGTCAAGTTGTATATAATTTCTCAAACTGAGAATTTAAGTTTTCTGAGATAACATGTTTATTTATCACAGCATGTGGAGAGAAACCATGGTAGTCCTGGCCAGGCTTATTGGCTCTCTAAGTCTCTATACAAATAAATTGGTACATAATTGATGATAGATAAATGATATATAGATGGATAGATAGGAAGACAAGTAGATAGGTAAGTAGATAGACTGATCCACCAAGCCCCAATCTCTTTCTTGTTGCTGGAAACAGAGTAGCTCTTATTAAGAGAAGTAGTCTGGAGGCTAATAAAAGAAGGCCCCCATAAAAGTGAACATGAATAATTGAACTGAATTAGATGAGAGAATTCATGGAACTGTGTGAGGATGCACATGGTGTCCAAGCAGAGTCTGACACCCCATGGATACATTATGTCTTTGGGGGACTTTAGGAATGTTTGCCTTTGTGGACAGAAATTTATTTGCTTAAATAATGTTTTATGATAGCACTGGTAGCAAACGTTTTCATGTCATGTTAGAAGACACTAAAACATTTTCCTGGGTTACTAAAAGCATCCTGGGCTCTAGCATGCCCCCTGGTGCCTCAGAGCCTAGACATACTGCAGCCTCTTCCTCCTGCATGGGTGCCAAGTTGCTTCAGTCATGTTCAGCTCTTTGCAACCCCATGGACTACAGCCCGCCAGGCTCCTCTGTCCTTGGAATTCTCCAGGCAAGAATAATGGAGTGGGTTGCCATTTTCTTCTCCAGGGGATCTTCCCGACCCAGAGACTGAACCCACATCTCTTATGTCTCCTGCATTGGCTTGTGATTTCTTTACCACTAGTGCCACATGGGAAGCACTTAAAATGTGTTCAGTCGTGTCCAATTCTCTGAGGCTCCATGGACCATAGCCCACCAGGAAAATTTTCTTGCCTGGATAATTTTATTTTTTGAAGCAAATCCCAGACATGAAATATAATGGTATTCATGGATATTTAATATGTATATCTAAAAGATAAGGATTCTCTTAAGAAAACAAAATACCATTATCACACAAGAATAATTATCAATAATTTCTTAATATCATCAAATATCCATTCATACTTCACATTTCTAGTGAGACTGTCCTTCAACTCCAGTTAATAACAATGTGGAATCTGAGAAGACTGAAAACAAGGGATTTACTCTGATATCTCAGAGAGACATGGGGATTTTGTAGAACAAGTTTATCTCAGTTCTGTACCCTTGTATCAGAGCCTTCT